GTGCTTGCTCAGTAGGCAGCAAAACCACTGAGCTAAATCCCCAGCCCAGTGTTAAATATTTCTACGAGTAGTTCATTTCATATTTTCCCCCCAAGAAAAGGAAAAACGACATTCTCTGTTGGGTTCCTCTTTAGAATGACTTATTTTCCAACGGGCCTTCAAGTCCTGAGTGTGAAGTTGAAATTAATGGTGGTACCCATTTCTGGTCAAGAGCCAGGGATGTAGCTCAGTGGCACTGCACCTACCTGGCAAGCACAAGGTCCTGAGTTCGGTTTTTAGTACTGGAAAAAAAAGCCCTGAAATTCTAGTCAAGAGCAACAGTGAAGATGACCCAAACCTGACACCATACTAGTTTGTTATTCTAAACAAGCCAGTATATTTCTGCTGTAAACCATGAGACAATGTCAGTCATACATTATTAGTATGTTAAAATAGCATACATGGTTTTGATTTGGGAAATATACTTTGGATTGGTGCAGAAAAAAACAGTGCTCACAGATTACATTCTAGAATGTAATTTGAAATTTTGCCAAATAAATCTCACTAGTATTATGTGAAGGTCTTTGCAGGATATAGTCTCTCTCTCTCTCTTTTTTAATATAGTCTCCTCTAACTTCCCTTTTTTCACTTTTACCAATACTTCAGATTCTTACATCCTTTTTAAAATGTGAAGGGGTGGGTTTAAAAACTCATACCAGATTGTGTCTCTTTGGAAATAACAAAGACAGCAGTTTGCCATTTTGGTAGAATCAACTTTGAGAATAAGGTTTTAGTATAAGAAAATGTTACTTATTAAGATGGACGAGATAAGCCAAGTGTGGTGGCACATGCCTGTGATCCCAGCCTGAGATAGGAGGGAGCTTGAGGCAGGAGGATCACTGAGTTTGAGGCCAGCTTGGGCCACATAGTGAGTTTAAGGATATAGTAGAACTACATTTTCTGTTATGTTTACACATCTGAAACGCTGCCACATCCAGATTCAAAGTCTTAAGATCAAGGGGCTTCATACTGCTTTTTTCTTATACTTTTTAATCACCATTCTGTAACAGCAGTCTCTTCATGTACTGTCACTACAACATGCGCTCATGAATTATTGTTTTCTTGCGAAGTTTGAAGGTTTCTTCATTATTCAGAGATTTGCTGTGCAGCTGTAGCTCAGCGCTGGAGAGGAGGTGGAATATTTGTGCCCTGCAGCAATGATAGTACCCAGCTCTGCTGCTGCCTGGCTGGTCTTCAACACGGCACCCCTTCTGCTCACCAAAGGCCTGGGCTCACCCAGTATTTTTTTTTTTTTGGTACTGGGGATCGAACTCGGGTCTTTGCGCTTGAGCAGCAGGCAGCGAAACCACTGAGCTAAATCCCCAGCTCACCCATTATTTTGCTTGATATTTTTTCATGCTCCACATCAGAAGTGAATCTTAAAAAGCCTAGAGTTGTGAAGGAAAATTTATTTGACAATTCTATTTTAAAAGACCCTAGGCAATGAATATTATAGGATGTGACACTGCCTTTGGAAGGATACTGGGGATTGAACTCACACTGATAAATCCAACAGTTTACTTTCTTCTACTTTTTTTTTTTTCCATTTTGAGACAGGATCTCCCTACATTGCCCAGGCTGGGCTCAAACTTGTGACCTTCCCTCCTGGATTATAAGTGTGTTAGGTGTGTGCCACTACTCCTGGCTGTGACACCACTTTTTTTTTCCTTTGAGATAGGGTATGGCTATATAGTCCAGGCTGGCCTTGAACTGTGGCTATTCTCCTGCCTCAGCCTCCCAAGTGCTGGGATTACAGGGATGCACCATCACCCCCAGCAATGTGCCAACACTTTTGAGAGCAAAAATAGAACACATACCAGTGACCAAGTTTGGTCCTACATCAGAACTAACTAATATTACCAAAGACTTTAGATGATATGCTTTGGGAGGTCAGTCAAGTGGTGTTGGGGAAAACTTTGAAATGGCTCCTACACCAACCATATCTCTCTTGCAGGGGAACTGAAAGTTATGTATTGTATTTCCACAAGGATTTCACTTATCCTTGTTTTTCTGCTTCCTCAATGAATGAGAACGGGTGGAAAATTGTATTTTTAGTAACTTCACAGCAAACTCTTATCCATTTTGATGAATAATCAAAACAGCTGGGAAGAAGTCTCTGAAGGAGATGTATCTTTAGTTGCTCTCAGGCCCTAGAACAGTGGTGGTCTCTTACTCACATTTGATTATCACTTTCTGGAGTGTAGCAGCTGCTAGGAAGTTGTAAATATTAGGCAATATGACAGCTGCCCCTAGCTAGCCCATTTGTCCCACAACTCTTTCTACGACTTGAAGCCATTTGTATGGGCTCCTGCAAACAGGGCCAGCCCAGGGGAACGAACTGGCCCAGGACATAGCTCAGTCCTGTTTCTCTGGCCAGCAAGCCCTGGGAAAGTTTGGAGCAAGGCCAGAGCTTCTCAAGGAACTCTTTGGAAGAAGTCTCAGACCAGTCTGGAGGAGCAGGAGCATTCTGAAAAGTTTCCCCAGGCTCTGCTTTTAGTAATGGCCTTGCCCCGATGTGTACATTTGTTTTAATGGGAGATTGCAAAATAATTTTGCATTTTCCAGGTGCCTGTGTAGCTCTGCAGACATTATAGGAGATGGCTATTTCTGTGGGAAATTATTTTCATGTTTTGTATTTGTTTTTGTCAGAATTCTAAAATATTTTCTGGATGGTGTGGTTGACCATCCTTTTAAAGTAAAGTACTATTTATTTGTGTTTGATTAAAGTCAATTCTGATATCGAATGGTGTGCGTTTAATTTGTATGTAGGTTAGTGAAGTCTTGTTGTGTTGTTTATTTTGCTGCAGGGCCTCACATGTTAGCAAGTGCTCTAGTGCTGGGCTACATCCACAGCCCTGTTTCCTGTTTTATTTTTATTTTTTTAAATTTTGAGACAGGATCTGGTTAAGTTGCCTACACTGGCTTTGAGCTTGTGATCCTCCTGCCGATTAGTGGAGAATATTGAAGAACACTTAATATTTAAATGATCAGTTTATACAAGTGAAGACCAGGTAATTTTATGGTGTACTTTAAACATTATAAAAATATTTTATATAAGTATATCTTTTTTTTCAGTACTAGAGATCAATCCCAGGGTGTGATTGAGTCATAACATCGGTGTAATAACAACACCGGAGTAGGTGAGATCTGACCATGCAGGGTAACTTAGGAAGGGGTGAGGTTGTATATTTAAGGCCTGTTCAGCATCCATTCTTCTTTCTGGCTAGATCACCCTCCTTTATTCATTCATCAGATATTCCTTGACCCTTATAACATACTAAAAGGGTAGGAATAGAGCTTGTAGAAAGTCCCTGTTCTCACGAAGCATATTTTTGATATGGGGGCAGGGTGGGGGTGACTGATGATAAGAAGGAACTGCATAGTCCAGCTTAGGGTGCAGAACTGGGAGCATTCTTACCATTCTTACTGTGTTTGAGTTCCAGCTCTGCTCTGTCCTGAGCAAGTTACTTAACCTGTCTGTTCTTCAGTTTGGCCAGTTCTAGTTTGGAAATAGTAATAGCTTACATCACAGGATGGCTGAGCTTTAAATCAGTCAAGTCAAGTAATTAATGCCTGCCTCATAGAAAGCACTAAATGAATGTTTATTCTTTAGTCTTTAGATATGTGCTATGGAGAAAAAGTAAGGTAAGCTAAAGTTATGCAAACCCTGGGCATTTTATAATTTCATAAAGCTTTTAGAAATTGCTATAAAATTGCACTTTAAACTTATAGAGAGCCAGGAATGGTGGCTCACAGCCACACTTGTAATCCCAGCACTTTGGGAGAATGAAGCAAGAGGATCGCAAGATCGAGTCCTGTGTAGGTAACTTTTCAAGATCCTGTCTCAAAGAAAAAATTAAAGAAGGGCTGAGAGCTAGGCATGGTGGTGCACACCTGTACTCCCAGTGCTCAGGAGGTTGAAGCAGGAGGATTGTTATGAGTTCAAGGTCAGCCTGGCCTACATAGTGAGTTCAAGACCAGTCTGAATTTCACAGAAAGACCCTGCCTCAAAAAACAGCAATAACAAAACTATCAGCTTATAAATTAGGGTTCATTTTAACTGTAATGGTAGCTATTATTTAGGAATCTTTCAGTCACATAATAGAAAAAAAAATCCTTAAATCTAAACAGCTCTATGAAAAGTAAACTTTACTGACACAACTTTCCAGTCTACTAAATGAAAATCTTATATTTGGAGTTACCTTTGTGTTGGAAATTTCTGTATGTATAGTTAGTTATGGATACCATTGATCCTTCCTGACAATTTTAAGTCATCCTGTAAATCCTACAGAAAAATATTAAACTAGGTAAGTATTGAAATATAAATTTCACAAAAGGAAGAAAATTATAAGGGAAATATTAGTGCTTTTGTTATGTGAGTTTTATTTGCTTGTAAATTATTAAAACAGGTGTGCTTATAAACTTGAATCAAAATGCTATATTTATTGAAAAGGATTTTGGTGTACAGTGAAAATGGTAGTGAGTGTTTAATGAACAACATCATGACTCTTAGTCTGTTTAAATGCTATGTTTATGTGGGACAAGTAACACTGAGAAGCAATTTATTTGTTTTTTTTTTTGTTTTTTGGTACCGGGGATCAAATTTGGGACCTTGCGCTTGCAAGGCAGATGGTGGAACCACTGAGCTAAATCCCCGGCCCCAATTTAGTTATTTGTAACATAAGCATTGGAGATTTTGTGGGCATACTTTGTTATGACCTTCTTGTTATATATTGTTTATTTTCATATTTTTCAGATATTTAGATTTAAGCTTCACTTTGGAATTCATCTTTCTTCACAATGGCACAGTCAAATGGAGGTCCAGTTGGATACATGCCCCCAGATGGAGGCTGGGGTTGGGCAGTGGTTATTGGTGCTTTCATTTCAGTTGGCTTCTCTAATGCATTTGGCAGATCTATTTCTGTATTTTACAAAGAAATTGAAGATATATTTAATGCCAGCACCAGTGAAGTGTCATGGATATCCTCCATCATGTCTGCTGTCATGTATGGTGGAGGTAAGTAGCCACGAAGGCCTGCTCTTTTAACTTTCAGTAGGCAGTCAAAAGCTCTGTGATCGGCCAGGGATTTAGCTCAGTGGTTTCGACGCCTGCTGCGCAAGCACAAGGACCCGAGTTCGATCCCTGGTACCAAAAAAAAAAAAAAGCTCTGTGATACGTATTTCCTATTTGTGATGCCTTTAGCAGGGAAGTATTCAAAATGTTAGTTCTTGAAGTTATATGGTTGGAATCATATTTTGCATTATTTTTATCAATAAAAGCTGTAGAGAAACTGTGTGCTCTCTTAGGTTATAACATTATATAACAGATGTCATTATAAAGGAAAACTTTCTTTAAAAATGTTTTCGGGGGCCTGGGGATTTAGCTCAGTGGTTTCGCCCTCTGCTTCACAAGTGCAAGGACCCAAGTTCGATCCCTGGTACCAAAAAAAAAAATGTTTTTGGGGCCAGGAATGTGGCTCAGTTGTAACTTGCTTAGCATGCATGAATGTGTAAGGCCCTGGATTCCATCACCAGCAATGCCAAAACAAAAAAAGTTTTCTACTTTCATAAGTATGTAAAAAGGCAATTGATTTTTGGATTTTAATCATATATCCTATGTCTTGCTAAACTCTTGTTTCCGATAGTTTGTTGATAGATTCTGTTAAAAGTTTTAGATATGCAAAATAAAAATATCTTCTGCAAATACTGACAGTTTGGTTTCTTCCTTTCTTTACACCTTTTTTTCCCATCTTAACTGCGCTGGCTTGGACTTCAGTATGTTGAAGAAAAGTAATGGTAGGCATTCTCGTTCTGTAGTTTTGTTTTGGTTTTGTCACTGTTGTTTTCTATGAGAAACAAAACACATCTTAGTTAGCTTGTAAATTTGTCCTAAAGTCAGAAGTAGGATCAGACTTGTTGATACATTACATCATATTCAAATGTCTTTGTTCTACATGCCCTGCTAAAAATTTAAAATAGAACAAACTTGTTACATGTATTTTGATAATATTTTAGGTATATGAAGAAGCCTGCACTTAGAATTCTGGAAATGCAGCCTGTTCTGCCTTATAAGAGGTAGATTAGGTCTTGTATACTTATTTAAAATCCATCTAATATGCTCTACATGTATAGAAGATGTACAATCAATGCTATTTTTTTCTACTACACAAGCTTGTGACCTTGAAATAATGCTAGAAAGCACCGTTTCTTATACCGCCTTGTGTTTTGTTTATTGTGGGGGTGGGCATTTTCTGTCTTGGCACCCTTTCTTGTTGGTGATGCCTTGTGTGGAAGTGAGGAGTATGCTTTCCTACGTTAACGCTATGTTGTTTGTTCTCTCCTAGGTCCTATCAGCAATATCCTGGTGAATAAATACGACAGTCGCCCAGTCATGATTGCTGGTGGCTGCTTATCGAGCTGTGGCTTGATTGCAGCTTCTTTCTGTAAGACTATACAGGAACTTTACGTGTGCATTGGAGTCATCGGAGGTGAGTTGCAGCTAATTCTTTTTTTTTTTTTTTAGTCAGAGTTTCACTACTATATAGTCCAGGCTGGCCTTAAACTCATAATCCTCTTCTGTCAACCTCCTGCATGCTAGGATTACAGGTGTGCACTGCTATGCTCAGCTTGCTACTGATTCATTTCCAAACATTAATATATTTTGTGGACTATTTGTTTTTTTAAAACTTTTTTTTTCTTCTGTTTTTAAGGCAGGGTCTCACTGTGTAGTTCAAGCTACCTTGAACTCACTCTGTAGTCCAGGCTGGCCTCAAATTTGCAACAATCCTTCTGCTTCACCCTGGGTTTTTGTGGACTGTCTGTAACATTTATCTGCCAGTTCTTTTAGCTATATTAATTTAAGAGTACCAAAAATAAAAGAAATTTCTGGCTCTTAATTGGCATGATTATTGAATGGATGAGTTGAGTTTCAATTTTTTTTTTTTTTTTGGTACCCAGGATCGAACTTGGGTCCTTGCGCTTACAGAGCAGGCGGCAAAACCACTGAGCTAAATCCCCGGCCCTGAGTTGAGTTTTTATTATCTGTTACAGTTGGTCCCAACAATTGTCTTTTTCAAATACTTTTTTTTTTAATATATGTGCTGCTGAAGTGAGTGCTTCAAATACTTCTAATATGTTTACTTTCCAGGTCTATTTTATTATTTTATCTCATTTGAAAAATAAAATACATTGACATTTTCACAGAAATTGAATTAAATTAATAGATTTACTGGGGTAATATCAGACAATGTTCTGGTTTTTGTTTGTGATTTTTTTTTGGTGATACTGGGATTGAACCTAGGGCCTTCTCACTGACCTACATCTCCAGCCATTTTTTATTTTGAGACAAGGTCTTGCTAAGTCACTAAATTGCCCAAACTAGGCTTGAACTTGTAATGTTCCTGCCTCAGCCTCCCAGGGTGCTGCAGTTACAGGTGTGTACTACCATGCCTGGTCAGTATTGTGGTTTTACTGTCCAGAAATATTTTTCCTTGCTTGGTGCCTTGCTTCCTGGATTTATAAGATTAATTTCCTTTCCTCTTTGCTTTCATTTTCCTGTTCCTCAGGAAAGCTAATATTATGAAACTAAATATAGGATCCTATATTTATTATTCTTTTGACTGTTAGAGCGAAAAGAATCATTTCAATGTTACAGCGTACATCTAGTATTTGCTACATAAAGAGGCTTATCTGAATATTTGATAACAGTCCACCTAATGATCTACTGCGTATCATAGCCTCTCTCAATGATGATAACTCTTGTTCCCTTTCCATTCAGTTTCCTCATCTAGTTAATTAATATAAACTATGTGTCTGGCATTTATTACAGTATGTAGGTTTTATTCCCCTTCCTCTTAGGTCTTGGGCTTGCCTTCAACTTGAATCCGGCTCTGACCATGATTGGCAAGTATTTCTACAAGAAGCGACTGTTGGCCAATGGATTGGCCATGGCAGGCAGCCCTGTGTTCCTGTCTACCCTGGCCCCCATCAATCAGGCTTTCTTCGGTATCTTTGGCTGGAGAGGAAGCTTCCTAATTCTTGGAGGCCTCCTCCTAAACTGCTGTGTGGCTGGATCCCTGATGCGACCAATAGGGCCCAAGCCAGCCACGACAGGGAAAGTTAACGCTAAAGAATCCCTTCAAGAAGCTGGGAAATCTGATGCAAAAAAAGATGCAGGTGATGCAAATACAGATCTTATTGGAGGAAACCCCAAAAAGGAAAAGCTGTCGCTCTTCCAAAAAATTAATAAATTCCTGGACTTGTCCCTGTTCACTCACAGAGACTTTGTGCTATATCTCTCTGGTAATGATAATGGCCTTTGGACTGACCACACCTTTAGTCTTTCTTACTAGTTATGCCAAGAGTCAACATTATGCTAGTGAGAAGGCTGCTTTCCTTCTATTTTATCTTTTGCTGATATTGTAGCCAGACCTTCTATGGGACTTGTAGCCAACACAAAGTGGGTAAGACCTCGAATCCAGTGTTTTTTTGCTGCTTCTATCATCACCATGGGTGTGTGTCATATGGTCCTACCTTTTGCCACCAGCTATATTGGGTTCTCTGTTTATGCGGGATTCCTTGGATTTGCCTTTGGGTGGTTTAGCTCCATATTGTTTGAAACCCTGATGGATCTTGTTGGACCCCAGAAGTTCTCCAGCTCCATGGGATTGGTGACTGTGATGGAATGTGGTTTCATCCTCGCGGACCCACCGACTTTAGGTATAGTATGTCTCCCTGCTCTGTGGCTCTGTCATCATAAAACAGGCAGACAGGATTGGGACGGTGATAGAAAGTAGAGAATAGTGAGCCATTTGGTAGTGGAGAGCAAGTCTTTCTTATATCTATACCCTCGGTGCTGGTACAATGTTTGGCACAGTATAACTGCTCAGATACTTACAGAATTAAATTAAATATCAAGACCTTGTCTGAAAAACAAACAAACAAAAAAACCGGTTGGATTATTATTCTCTAGGAATACCAAATTCTTTACATTTAAAAATTACTACTTAATACCAAACACAATAATTTGGCCCTTGTCTGGATGTGACATGTGCTTTTGATTTTTAAAAAAATTTTTTCAAGACAGGGTCTCACTTTGTAGTGCAGGCTGGCCTTGAACTCACTATGGAGCCCAGGCTGGCCATTTGTCACAGTTTGTATAATTGATTAACATCTCTGTTGTCCACTGAACTGTGAATGTTATGTCCTTTGCTCACCCTTATCCTCAAAGCCTAGCAGAGCCTATTCCTCATATGTGGTAGAGGCTCAATGAATATTGCTGAATGAACAATGCCCTGAGTTAGGAAACCATATAGAACCACATTTGAATTGGTTATATTGAATATAGAGTTTTCTAAATTTTATTCCTAGAGATACTAGTAAATTTTACTATACTAAGGATTTCATTGCCATAAAAAAGTTTGGAAACACCAAGTTAAATAGATTTCTTTACTATCAGACTTCACAAAGTCTTTAAGAGAAGATGAGAAACATTAGGGAGGTTTCTTGTAGCATAGCGATTATAGGCACGGGCCCCAGACACAGACTTCCTGGGTTTAAAGCCAAGCTATTTTACTTACTAGCTTTGTGACCTTGGACAAGTTTTTAAATGCCTCTGTACTTCAATTTTTATATCTAGACAATGAGAATAATAGTAGAATCTGCCTGTTGTGGAGATTGAGCCCTTACAACAGTGGCAAGGTATTACTGTGAAGTGTCTGGCATAGGGCAGGTGTCTACAGGACGCTCTTTGGAAAATGCTGATGAAGAGCCTTGGCCTTGGTAACTGGAATAGCTCTGTGGCCTTGGACAAGGCTCCTGAATCTCTTTTGAGCAACAATTTTTTCCATTATGTATTGAGAGAATTAATTATAGGTGATCTCTAAGTCTTTCCCAATTCAAATTTACTAAGAGTTCACTATTTTCAACTAAAAATAACAAAGATATACTATCCATCAAAAGCAGCTAGATGATGAGAAATGGAAAAATCAGAAATAAAGTCTTTGTAAATAGGGAAAGGTGGAGGGCATGAAAGGAGGGCTAGGAATGGGGAAAAAAGAAGAACCAAGATGCATTATGTAAAGGTACAATTCCCAATGAGAAATGTAATTGTGTTGTATACCTACAATGTACCAATAAAAGGAAAAAAAAGCAGCTAGATGACATAAATAGAAGAGCAGATCATCTTTAGCAATTCCTTCTTTTACTGATTTGTCATTTGTGGGCTCTCTGAAGATTAGATTAGCATCTTTGTTTAGAGTGGATCCTTAAGCTTTGTTTGGGAAAGGGTACCCTTGTTCACTTTTCCCCACATAGTTTTGTTTTTTACATCTTTTAGGTCGTCTCAATGATATATATGGAGACTATAAATACACATACTGGGCATGTGGCGGAATCCTAATTTTTGCAGGCATCTATCTTTTCATTGGCATGAGCATCAGTTATCAACTTGTGGCAAAAAAGCAGAAAGAAGAGGAGATGCGTCCTGTCTGAAAGCATGGAGAAGCAAGGAGCTTTTGACCAGTGATACCGAAACATTCTGGTGAACTTTGTTCTGTCAGTGTGCTTCAGGTAGACCGGAGGTTTGTATGGAAATCGTATCAGGTGTTCATTGATGGAAATTATATTTCATTTTTTTTCACTGCAGTCTAAAATAAATTTATCATATCCCTTGAGGGGAGGGGATTTGTAAAAGATAAGGGGAGGTAGCTTTCATTTGAATTAAGGTTGATTAAGGTATACTTTACCAATAGTAAAATTTCCTTTTTTAAGAGTAAATTTGATGAGTTTTAATAAAAGTATTCAGATTAATACCATCCTAATAGAATATTTCAAAGAGCTAAAATAGTTCTTCCTGCTCTTTGCAGTGTACTTCTTTTTCTGCCAACTGACCTGATTTCTGTCCTCCCTAGTGATATCTTTTACAAAATGGAATAAATGGAATCACATAGTATATAGCTGTGGCATGAAAGGAATAAATATTTGGTCTTAGTTCCCATTTCCTGGCATACAGCTCTGAAACCCTAAAATCTCCAGGGTGATAAGAGTATCTTTGTGTTAAAGAGATCGCTCCTGACTGGGGCCTGTAGATAGCTTCACATGTTCAGCCTGGCCTCACGAAACACCAGCCAGTCATTAGAGGACGGCAACTTTCCATTCCACTCCCTGAGCTCTGAGGAGGGGAGAGGGGCTGGAGGTTTATTTCAGCCACTAAGACCAGTGATTTAATCAACTATGCTTATGTGATAAAACCTCCATAAACGCCCCCCCCAAAAAAACAAAGTTTAGAGAGCTTCCAGGTTGAAGAACACAATGAAGTACTGAAGGTAGCATGCCAAGAGAGAGCATGACTCACTCCAGGGCCCCTTCCCCATACCTTGTCCTTTGCGTTTCTTCCTGAGTTGTGTGCTTTATCATAAACCACTAAATGAAAGTAAAATGTTTCCCTGAATTCTGTGAGCTGTTATGAGACTTGAAGAAATAGTCATGGAAATGCCCAGTTTACAACCATTTGGTCAACTACAAGGGCTGAAAAATGGCATCTGATGTGAGGACAGTCTTGTGGGACTGTCATTGGATGGGGTCTCAAGAGGGCCCCCTCAAAGAGGAGATGGGGACTCATTTTACCCACCCACGGAATAAGTCCTTGACTTGTCTTGGCAAAGCATTTCAGGACGTGTCAGTGAGAGGCATAGAAGGTTTACTGAGGAGAATTTAACAAGTACACGCTCAGAAGGGAGCATGGGCTCTCAAAGGGTGAGACCCAGTGTGGTCTGGGGTTGGGCATATTTATGTGTTTTGAGTGGGGGTAGAAATCTGTGGAACTTGTGAATCTTCAGAAAGCTCCATCTATAAATGAAAGGCAATGGCCTTTCTACCTGTGAAAGGCAAGGAGTGGCCCATTTTGCAGGCTTCTTGGAAGACCCTTAGGAAGTTTTTTGTTTTTGAGGGAGTTTCCTGGAAGGGAAAAAGTCATTGTAACCTTGGGTAACTTTATTATTTCCTAAAGCAGCAGTTTTAAAACTACAATTTTAAAATTTCTGTTTTGTCTCGTTTCTACCTATCTTTCTTTTATCCTATTTTAGGATCAAGTCTTTAAACCTATGGAGTCTGACACTAGCTCAGGTAATTAGTAATAGAGTTTAGTGACACCCAGTTGGTGTCTGGAGAGTTGGAGGATTCACGGTATGAATAAAGTCCCACCCATCTTGGGGCTGAGGATGTAGCTCAGTGGCGCCACATCTGCCTGGCAAGCACAAGGTTCTGAGTTTGATCCCTGGTACTGGGAAAAACCCACCCATCTAGTACAGTGGTACCTCCGTTCATGAATGCTTTAGTTTGTAGACAGCTTGGTTTGCAAACAGAAGGGTTTGGCAAAATTTTGTTTTTGTTTGCAAACACTGCATCGGGTGACAAACAGGATCGTGGCTATCTTTCACAAACGTGGCCATCTTTTCCAAAATTATAGAGCAAATTAAGTTCATGAACCAAGGCACCACTGTATTGTCACTGGCCTGGGCCTGGGGGTCCCTGAGGCTAAAATAAAGAATTTAACTCATGCTTTTTGTGGAATAAATTTGTGGTTTCGCTGACTCACCATGGAGAAAGAATTTTCAGGACAGGTCAGTAAGGGGCAAGAAAAGGGTTAGACTGACATTCGGAACATACTTGAGCAGAATGCAGGTGCTCAGAGAAATGAAAGATAAGTTATAGTTGGAAACTGGGAATCTTTTGTGTTTCAGGTGGTGGAAATTTGATAATCTATAGCAGGGGTATTGAACCTATGACCTGAGCCGATTGTATCACTGAAATCTCTAAAAGATTTGCCATCACTGGTCTATAGTCTTAGTCTCAGCTAGTGGGTGGGAGAAGATGGCCCGCCCGTAGTGAGATAATAGTCCATTAAGGGAAATCCTGGGCTGGGGATTTAGCTCAGTGGTTTCACCGCCTGGTGCCCAAGTGCAAGGAACCGAGTTCGATCCTTCTATCCCCGGTACCAAAAAAAAAAAAAAGAAAAGAAAAAGAAAGAAAGAGATAAACTGGGCTCATGTCCTAAAGCTGCAGTTTTTCTTAAAAGTACTATTTTTTAAATCTTGGTTTTCTTACCTCCTGTTTTTTTTTTTTTTTTTTTTATTATTGGTACCGGGATCGAACTTGGGTCCTTGTGCTTGTGCAGCAGGCGGTGAAACCACTGAGCTAAATCCCTGGCCCTTCTTATCTCCTTTTAATCTAGCTTTTATTTCTTCTATCTTATCTCAGTAACAGGAGCATTTCGATAAAAACAATTCATTTAGAGACGGCTTTGTGCCTAGCTTCTTTCAGGGAACATAATGTGCTGTGCTTCATCTATGTTGCATTTACCAAGAGTTCCTTGCTCTTTATTGTTATATATGTACCACAATTTGTCAAACCATTCACCAGTTGATGGGTGTTTGGGTTGTTTCTACTCTTGGGCTACTATGCATAAAACTGCTGTAAACAGAGGTCTTTGTGTGTTCTCTTGGGTAAATGCTAGGATCATAATTGCTGTGTCATATGCTAAGTACATGTTTAACTTTGTAAGAAACTACCAAACTGCTTTCTAGGTGGTTGTAGTTTTGTAATCCGTCTGGCAGTGTGTGGAATTCTAGGTGTTCTGCATCCTTGTCAGTAGTTAGTATTGTCAGTCTTGCAACTCTACCATTGCAGTAGGCACATGGTGTGACTAATTTTCCATTTCT